TCTACAAATCTTCTCTATTATTTTTCTATATCTCCAAAATTTCCAATATCTTTAAATTTAAAATAAAATTTTTTGAAATATTCAAGAATACTTTTATGAAAATCTTAGAGAATTTCATAGAAATATCTTCAAAATATATATGAAATTTTATAGATATAAAAAATTCTATTTTAATAAACAAATATTTTAATAAGAAATTTATATCTCAATTCATTCAGATATTTTCAAATTATGTCAAAAACTTACTATATAAAATAATAGAATCGCAATTTCATTTTAATATAGAAATAAACGCAAAATCCTCAATCATTTTCCAGATCCCACCCTCAGCGCACGCCATATATAACCAACTCCCTTAGAAGACTCTACATACGAAACAAAGAAGACTACGAAATACAATACAAATTTTGAAGACCCCACGGACTTGAAACATCCAAATTCTAGAAGACTATATTTGAAAATTGAAATGACAGACCTAATTTTCATAATTTGCATTTCATAAGGCATACAACAAATCTATTCGGCACCCCAAACTCTTACAACAGAGAATAGATAACACAACAAACATACACTCTTTAGAAAGCTCTCGAAAAATAATCAATTCGTTCAGATATACCTATATTATATGAGAAAATACTATTTAATAGGATATCAAAAATAATAGAACCATGATTTAATTTCAAACTAACAACCAAAATATTAATAGAAAAAATAAAGCTCAATTTTAAATTCATCATGAATAAAAGATGATCTTTGAAAATACTTCTAGATTATGAAAGCAAAATACAAATAATTCTAATCACCCAAGTATGATGATTAATGAATAAAAAATGCGTATAAAAATACAATATATGAAAGCTGGCTAAAAAATATTGAATATCTCATGCTCTATAATCTATGGTGCAAACAGCAATGATGCATTGACAAATTTGAGAGGGTTCCTACATAAACCAAAATTTTGCAAAAAAACTTCTGGTTTGAGGCTTAGGACTGCAAGGGTTTCTCTGGATATTTTTTCCACAATTGTTTCTTGAAGAGCTCCTCAAAATGTAGACTTACCGTTATCTGAATGGGAAGTTGAAACATGGCTCAATCAGCTTCTTTCACTTCGCTTGTCCTCTTGAAGGACGTCGTAGCATCCGACATAAAATAAAGCAACCAACGACACGGAAACGCCGTTACTGAAGCCTGCGGTCAGAATCACCGGACCATCGCCAGAGCCACGTCCCGGAACCTGGAAGGGGATTTCAGGATTGGTTGTGTGACACAACTCAGAAAGTCGACTCGTCATGCGAATTTCGTCATGAACAACTGCACATCTATGCTCCGAAGCCCTGGAATAAAAGAAACAGCCAGAAATGTGGAATAAGCATCGCTCAGCTTCGTGCATCCGGATGCGGCTCCCAGCCCTTGGGACAGTGGCATGTTTACATTATGTCCAGCTTGCATGTGCAGAAACGATTGCTTGCTAAGCTGAAGCACGTCAGAGACTTCTCTGACAAAGCAGCACGAATGGAGCAAATGGCAGCAGAGTTCCTCCATCCATGTATTGCTGTTTTATTGAATTCTACCTCCTCGACTTTATGTGTCAACCCAAACAGGGTAAGCTCTGAGACTTGGGCACTTCGAGGCCATCCAGCTCCAATGCTTTCTCTGATGACCTTGATTGCAGATGCAATGCAAGGGCCTTGCCAAACCGATGAACACTCGGAAACGGCTGTTGCTGGCGAGGAGCTGTGAATCCAAGAAATCCAAGTAGCAGTGACCACGTGGCCTTCCCATAATTGGATCCATAACAACCTCAAACCATGATGACAACCAGCGTGTGCCGTGGACATGCGACACCAAAACCACTTGCTGCAACGACCGGCGAATTCGCTTCACGCGCACCTCCATGTGAACTGGCCGGACTACCACCTTCTTGAGCAGCACTTGGATCTTGTTTTCGAGAGCCTGCCGTGTGGCAGAGTGTGTCAAGCCATCAAAAGGTGAGCCGCTCGTGAAAGCTTGCTGGAAATCAATGACGTTGCAACGAATGCACTGCACGGACAAACCACATGGCACGCCAGGGTAGGTTTGAGGGTGCGAGCCCTATAGCTAGCTGACTGGTCCACTCCTCGGCCGACATTCTTGTTGGCAACTTCTCCATCCTGCCAGCAGGGCTGGTGGTTCCCCTTTCGTCTTTGCCAACACAATGACTTCTGGCGAGATTCGGGGTCGAAGAAACTTGGGGGCCTGAGGCTTTGCGGCTCTTCGACACTCTGCGTAGAGGCGCGACATATCACAGGCATGCCAGTGCAGGGTATCCTGACTCGGAAGACGGCGTCCTCCTTGTCGGCTGCATCCTGAGCAACCATGGAGAACAAGGAAGATCGATCTCATGAACTGTGTCCACTGTACTTGGAGACGTCTGTACCACTTCCCAGGGCCAGGGCAGTTTGGAAGATTGGCGACCGGTCTTGGAAATCCAAGCTCTTCCGTGGCTGACCGGTCCTATCAACAGAACTTTTCAATACCCAATACAATGTGCAACTACGATTGTAGTGAAAACTAAAGTTTCGTTTGAGCGGATCTTGGGGTCTCCTCTGACAGTAATCCGACCAAGAGGATTCGAGGTCAAGACCAACTGCAAAACGCAGGCACCCAGCGCAAAAGCTTTGAGGTGAGCCCAACGGTGGATGCAAAGTAACATGCACGGTTAAAACACACAGTCAGCACGCATCATGCACAGAAGCAGAGAGCTGGCCTGTCTTGCACCATCGCCTGAGTGCTGCAGCAGCCGTGAGATAAGGCTCTGGCCCTGTTCCGTTGCCACGAAGACAATGAAGAGATGAAGCAATTTTGAAGGGAGGAAAGTTGTGCCTTTGTTGGGCTCCCGACTCGTTCAATCATCATCTGGATGTGCTGCGATGCAGCGTGATCCGCTGCCTCATGCCCGCATTCCGAGGGTCCGGTCCAATTCGTGCCATGTGTCCCGGAGCTGAGTTGCAGGCTGTGCGGCCGCCACGGTCCTGCTGTTGTTAATGCACGCGAGAGACATTAACCCGCACTCGTAACACAGCGAGATGGCGCGATGCAGTGCCACGGGCTTCGAAACCCTAACCAAAAGACGCTATGCGCTCGAGATGCAAGTCAGCAATTCGCCATCCCTGAAAGAAGGAAGTCCTTGTCAGCGACCTTCGTGCTCGGATCTCGGAGCATCCGCTCTACGGCCTATCCGATTGTCATGCTTTGAGCACGCAGTGAAACCAGAAAACCCTCCATTCCCGACAGTGGATAACCAGGTTCCATCGACGCTGGAGCAACAATGAGAATGCAAACTGGCAATGTTGAAGAAGCTCAGACTTGTCTCGGAAACTACGAGCCTCCGTGTAGCCGACGGCAGCAGCCTCGGCACGGAAATCACGGCTTTCTTGTGACGACCGGGGTCGGCAAACAGGGAAAGGGGGAGAGAGAGCGAGAGCGAGAGCGAGAGAGAGAGAAACTGTGCTCATCACAGAAGGTCTTCTTATGCAGCAGTGGAATCCATCGGCAGAAAGGCCCGATGGAACTTGGCTCCCAAATCCTGATTGTGTAAGGCCTAGGAAATCAAACCAACAGGAGCCAAAGGGTGCAGCCTGCATCAATGGAGTGCGCCCATTCTTCTCCTTTGCATTGCAGTTGGCCTGCGACAGCTCGATGGAGACTGGCATGCTAGTGCTGGACTAAGTGTTGTGTCTGCTTGTTGCCACAACATTCCTGACAATGTCGGGCTTGTGGATGTTTCCAAGCATCGCAACTTCGTTACAACCGACGAAGCATCAACTGCAACAGTATGGCTGTTGCCTTCGCGTCGTTGAGTGTGCTAGCCTTGGTCGTTTTCACGAAACCTCGTCACTAAATCTGTAGAACCCGGCCGGAACTCTAACACTGCGAAACAGGGCCTTCAGCTCGACGAGCTTGCTGAGCACTCGGAAGTGGCCTTCCCATCGGATGTGGGGAATCTACACGGAAGCTTTGAAGCGCCAAGGGAATGTTTTGAAGCATCTGGACACTGAAATGTCCGAAGCACTTTGTTTTAAAAGCCTACATGGTGCTGGTGCAACCTCCAAGAGAGAAGAGCCTGCTGTTCGTCCCGCTGCCACAGCATAGTGCAGGACAGTCATGCCCTTGTCGCCAGTATCCTTGGCGGATCGAGTTGCAAAGAAGCTCCCTCTGCTTGGCGAGCGATGAGAAATCGAACAGACATGCTGCGGCTCCCACTAGAAGGACCTTGTTTCCTCCGCCATGTGCAGCTTTCGACCTCGCGAGTAAGCAAGGACAGCTGAAGCCTTGCAACCGGGAATGCAACTTCGAATGCAGAGAGGCACCACCGTGGCAAATCAATAACTGGAGGCAACCGTTTGAGAAACGCACTTCATGGACCATGGATGCCATTTCGGGGGATGTGTCTTCGGACAACCAGTGCTTCTTTCCAAATGCTTCTCGGGATACTCAACGCTCAATTCTCGCAAGGAACCCTGCCAAGCACATTCCCAACAAGTCTCGGGCAGCTTGTTTTGGCGCCTTTCGGCGGCAAGGATGAGTAGCCTGGCACGACTCAGGATTCAATTCAATGAAGCCCGCTGACATCAGGGCCCCACATCACTGCACTATGCAGAACAGGATCATTTCTTCCAGTACTGCTCCACAAAGCACCAGATCAAAGCAGTAAGCCCTAAGGAACCCCTATAGATCCCTTAAAGGAGCCCTTATCCAAAAAGCACCAAAAGATCAAAGCATGGGTCCCAAAGTTCCTCAAAAGAAAACGTCCCAAAGAGCACGAGCCGGGGGCGGAGCTCACGGCCGAAGGGCGGCGCAACCTGGAGCAGACGGGGACACTTCCCCTTGCCACATACAAATTCGATACACCTTGCTAAAGAGAGGTGAAGGTGCCTGACTCTTTTGACTCTTCTTCTGAGTCTAAAAAAGATGTTGCGGGTGAGGTGATGCAGAGTTCTTGTTCAGCGCTTCATTGAGATGATGAAGGCTCTTGATTAGCAGAGGATGCTCGTCGTGTGTGTTTTGCGGTCAGTCGTAGTCTGTGCTCTCGGCACTAGATGTTCCTGTTGTGCAGAGGGCAGTAGGTGGTGTCTTCAACGGTGTGGGCAACGTGTCCAAAATGTGAATCGTTCTCCTCAGAGCTGCTTGTGCACCAAACTTGTCGGTGCCACCTTCCCTGTCCTCATCCGTCCGTGTTGTGTGATGCTGTGGGACTCGTTGGCATCAGGTCGTGGATGGGGATGTTGCGCTTCGTGCTGTGGTTCGTTAACCAGTCCTGACAGAGGTTGAGTGCTATGTCGGTCTGCCGTTGCAGTTCGCGCACAGCATTTTTGCCATCCATCTTTTTGCGATTCGTGCTGTGCCAAGCGATCCTCGCTCATGTTGCTGCGAGCGTGGTTCAGTGAGGTTGATTGGAGGAACAGTCTTCCAGCTCGGCGTTCCTGGCAGATCTGTTGAAAAAAGTCGGAGCACCGCTTGAGTTCTCGGCACAAAAAGATGCTTGTGCAAGAAGAGTTGCTAGGCCTGTGCTACGTGGATGCAGGAGCAAACCTTTGTGCCTTTGTCGCCGTGAGCGTACACAACTTTGATTTTGTCAGAGGGCTGTGTCCGAGCTGCACGTGCCCACAATGGTGGGAATCCACAGTGCAACCTTGAAGCTATGTGCTCGAAACCTTGCTCCAAAAAGCATTCGCAAAGACCACAAAAACGATTATGTATGTACACTGAAACGACCAGAGTTTGGCGTGCCTCTTCTTTGAGTGCCATCTCCTCCTGCAGCTGCTACCCGGAAACGGCAACAGTTTCGGATGTCGGGAGAATCACGTGATGCCACGACTCACTATAGCTGAAGAGGATGAGAGCACCGACGGTCATCTATGATAGGTCACCGGGATGGACCACGACCCATCAACAGCCGGACCCCATTGCTACTGCTGCACGGCAGCATGTAATGTAATGCACCAGCACCACCATTATCTAGTGAGAGTCGTCGTCGTTGTAGTTGTAGCAGCAGCACCAGTAGTCGAGCTTAGAGCTGAAGCTGTCATCGTCAACTCTTCTGGCACGTAATCACAAACATTGGAAATCAGAAAGAGCGCTGCAAGTACCCATCTCGAGAAAATAATGGAGAATTGCTGCATGTAAAAGGACCATAGCCCGAGATGCGGGTGGGCAGGGTGCTATTCACAGAGACCTGTCTGAAACTTCGCAATGGAGACGTTATGTGACCCAGTCTCCCCCTCCCTAGCCTTTGTCGAGAAGGAGCGTCCGTCGTTGGATGCCTGACATGTCGGCATTCGAGCAGAGGACCCATAAGGCTTCCGAGCCTCACACAGATTCACAGGTTCCTTTGTTAAAAATTGCACGCACCTGTTGTGAGAATGTGGCAGCTGAGTATCGGAATGTATCGGGTCGCATGACTGCTAGCACCTGATCACCTTACATTGGGACAGCACCAATCCAAATCGATGGCCTCATCCGTGGAGGACAACGTCCGCGTCCCGGTGGCAGATGCCTCCCCCCCGTTCCGACACCGGGAAATCAAAGTTGAGGTGGAGAGAACATGTCAGAAGCATTGTGAAACGTGTTGTGAAACTAGGGCACCTTGCACATCAAGCAAGTTATACTAACTCCTTAGACATACTCCCGTGTGGCTGCCAGACCGCTCTACCGCGACCGGTTGTTCTCAGGACTTGGTTCGAGGCTGCCATACTGTTTCGGCAGACAAACTCTCGGAAACAGGGATGCCAAGCGAAGCTGCACTCGGTTGACACGAAGGCCTCTCCCCGCGAAGGCCGCCGGAAGCCAAGACTCATGCTGAGCCCCAGGGTGGCGCTGCCGGTCTCGCAGATGAGGTGAGAGAACTCTGAGGGTTCTGTCAGGTGGCTAAAGATTGGACGCGGGTCCCCCACCCCAAGGGTCAATCTTCGGTTGCCAGCGACAAGCTCGGCTTGAATCGGCTCCCGGGGCATTTCGCCGAGAAAGCTGCCCCGAGGTCAGTTGAACCAGGACTACCGTCCCCCGACACCTTGCCAGCTCCGAGGAAGCCTCCAACTCCTTTTCATTGCCGCAAGAATCCCTAAAAAGCTCCCTCGAGTCATGGCAAATCTTCAACTCCGCAGGCCTCAG